CTCCCTCACTTTCCCCCCCCCCCCAATTCCACATCAGGTCCACGGCGGCGTCCGTGCCCTCAGTCTCCGGAAGCGGGCCGACGGCGGTCTGGACGTGCTAAGCGGCGGCGCGGATGGCTGTGTGCAGGTGCGGAAGCTGGAGGAGGTGTCGGGGGCGAAACCCGACGGCACGCCAGCAAAGGGAATCAAGCTGAGCAAGCCGGAGGCAGAGTGAGTTTCCGGGGGTTCGTTGGGGGTTCGTTGGGGATTAATGGTTGAAATATGTATGTAATGGATCAGCAGGCATTATTTCTCATCATCCACAGGGAGTGGAAAAACCGAGTTCCTGTGTGTAGGGGAAAGCAGTGCCTGGTGCGAGGTGTGGGCACATGTGCGATGATGAGGGGTATAGGATTGCGGAGTCGGATGATATGATGATCTGAAGGCGGATAGATCGCCTCCAGACGGCGACCTTTATCGTGTGTGTTTTAAGTGCGGCGCCGCCACCTAGGTGGAAAGGGAACCAGACGGCCCTGCATGGGGATGATGAGAGGCGAAGGGCGAGCAAGAGTAATAAAGAGTGAGGGTGTACGACTGGTGGTCGACTAAAGTGCTGCATCACCTGAACTTGTAGCAACATTGATTTATGTCTGTATGTCTATATGTGTGTATATATGTATATATGTATGTATGTTGTTACAGGGCGGGACAGCTTCACCAGTGGCCCCCTTTCCCTTGGAGGCAGTTCCCTGCTCTCCCCTGCTAGAGGGGCACCCTAATCCGTCACCCCATCCGACTTCAGAATGTATTCATTGGGTTCAGCAACTCACCACCAGCATCCAACCAAATCTAGCGGATCAACGGCGCATCAACTTAGTTCCTGGTCAGCTCGCAAATTGATATAATCACATCCTACACCGTTCATAAGATCCTTGGTCCTACCCCGTCCCAAATCAACACCCCTTAAACACCCGAGGGGTCGGCAGGCGGATTTGAACCCGAATACTTTATATGTATATATGTATAAGCGGCACATGCACCCGTCCATCATCAAATACCTCTGCTGCATTTGTGCAACCCCGTACCCCGTACCCCGCTAACCACCACCACCACTGTCAATACCGTTGTGGTCGTACAGGTTCCGGCTGGCTACTCCCGGTACGGGATTACGTAAGGAAGAGGACCCCTTGGTGGTGGCACTGGATTGCCACGCCTCCCTGGACCGGGAGTTCCTGGCGGGTACGGACGGCTGCGACATTTGGGAGGTACGAACGTGTACGAACGTGTATGACTAAGCATGATAGTATACGGAAGCGGTCGGTGATGTGTGCATCTCTGTGTGCATCTCTGTGTGAAAAGGGATGGGGGAAGGTGAGTGTGTATATGTACCGCCGCGTCGTCGGGTTCCTCAATCGTGGCGCCGTACGTCGGTGACGTGGCAGGGCCAGAATGTGTGTATGTACGGAACCGCTACGGCCGACTCCTCAAGGAAACCTCCCTCCTAAATGCCCCCAATCACCCCCCGGAGCCTCTCCCTTTTCTTCCACTTGACACACATATACATGCAAAAATATACATACACACATATATACACACATACATACACACATATATACACACATACACCCCCCACTCCCCACTCCCACCCCCCCAAAGGTGGATGCCGACCCCCGCATTATTGTGGAGGGTCACGAACAGGACCTGGACGAGGTGGCAGCGCACGCAGAGTCGCCGTACACCTTCGCAACCGCCTGCCAGAGCGGCAAGGTGGGTGCGTATGTATGTACATTTGTATGTATGTACGTATGTATGCACATTTGCACCCGCTCTTGTCTGGTCTGAATGAACCTGGACAGTTTTTACTATTCCTTAAATCCTCGGACTTTAAGCTTATGCTTTGCAAGTTGTTAGCGGTGAGCGGGTCAAGTCCGTCGGGTCCTGAACAGGTTGCTCAGAATCATAAGTGTGTGTATGTTTGTATGTATGTAAGTAGGGAGGGATAGCAGGCGGGAAAAAGCCGCCGCCGTCCTGGCCCGCAGAAAACCCCGCGGCCCCACACGCGCATGAAACACACACACACACCCGCATTGCCCCCCTAAACCACATGGAGGCCACATGAGCGCGGGGGGGGGCTCTCCTCCCCCACCCCACACACATGTTGTTGTCTGTCGCCGTCCGCAGCTCCGCGTGTGGGACTCCCGGCGTCGCGACGTGGTCAAGTCCGCGGACCTGGGGTACGAGCTGTGCGGTATCGCATACAGCCAGGAACCGTTGCCGTTTCTGGTGGGTAGTGGTGGGGGTGGTGGGGGTGGGGGGTGGGGTGGGGGTGGGGTGGGGTGGGTGTGGGGTGGGGGTGCTGGTGCTGGTGGTGGTGGTGGTGCTGGTGGTGGTGGTGGTCAAGGGGGAGGGGGAGGGGGGCCCGGGCGCCCTCGGGGCCTTAGCCGGTGTCCCCTTCGTAACGCCATTCTCCGTACGGTTACTTATCTTACAGCCCCCTTCCTCTTGCCACTCCCTTTGGTTTCCCTTTTCCCTCCCTTTCCCCCCCTTCAATCCGTTGTCTTTGTTGTCCTTGTTGTCCAGGACGAGGGCAAGCGGGGTAAGCTGTACGAGGGTTATCATTTGGCGGTTAGTGGACAGTTGGGGGAGCTAACGGTCATGAGGTCGGACACGTTGCAACCGTTGGTGCACAGACAAGACGTGGCAAGCAAGCAGGTATGTCTGTATGTATGTGTGTATGTGTGTGTTTGTTTCAGTATGTATGTCAGTATGTGTGCATTGGACGGGGCCCCATGGAGGAGTACTGGAGAGGGGTTAGGGTACGGCATCGGAGGACGAACGAGTACGGCAGAGAAAGGACGAGGAGGAGGAGAGGTGACAGGATGCGGATATGCTTCGGGGGGGTCTGGGGTTTTGAGAATCCTCCCATTCGTACCCATTCGTACCCACCCTCTCAAGCACTCTGTACGATATATGATGATTATACCCCCTGTCCCCTGGTTGCTGTTCGCCGGGTGTTGCCCGATCAGGCCATTCCGGAAATGAAGTACAGTCCGGTGGGCGGCCCCCGCCTCCTCGCCGCCGCCTGCTCGGACGCCAACATCTACATATACCGGGCCGACAAGAACTACCAACTGCTGTGCAAGTGGGTAACCAACCAACCAACCAACCAACCAACCAGCCAACAACCAACCAACGAAGAGCTCTTTCACCTTTCTCTTCTCTTCCGTACACATAGAAAGGCAGCTCCGTACACATTTATTATATAAATGCAGTACATGCCGCCTCTCTCTTATTTCCCACACGCGCCCCATCAGACACACACAACATGAGTGTGCACACGTTTCAGACATAACGGCGAGTCCCTCACTCCCCCCTACTCTCTTTCCAATTTCCCCTATCCCTATCCAATTTACATGTAACCCCTGCACGTGCAGCCCCACCCAAATACGTGTCACCCCTCTCCCCCCCTTCCTCTTTCGCTCCCCTTGCCCTTCCCCCGCTACCCTCTCCTCCCCTCCACCTTACCACCTTAACCCCTTACCCCCCTCCCCCCTCCCCCCTCCAAACACAGATGTGTGGGTCATTCCAGTTGCGTCAAGCACGTGGATTGGTCTCTTCCCGTACTGCTGCCGGGCACACCCATGGACGGCCGGTTCGCGCTTCAGTCATGTGACGCGACCGGGAGCCTGCTGTACTGGGATCCGTGTACGGGTGAGTGAGGGGGAGGGGGGAGGGGGGGGAGAGGGGCGGGTGACAGGGCAGAGTGTGTGTGTATGTGTATGTGTATGCGTATGTGTATGTGTATGTGTATGTGTATATGTACGTCCAGGGCTGGTGGCGGTAGGAGAAACGACTGGGGGGGAAAGGGAGGGAGGGGATCAGAGCGCCATCAGGTTGGCCAGGTCGCGGAGGAAGCGGAGCTCTTCAGGCATCAGAGAGAGAAACACAGTGGGCTATGTGTGTGTATGTATGTGTGTATGTGTGTGTATGTATGTGTGTATGTGTGTGTGCATGTGTGTGTGTGTCGGTGGGTGGGGAGGTGGGTGGCGATGTTGGGAGAAATATTTTGAGAAGGTCGATATCGTCCGAGTCCTCCTGTCCACAGGCCACCACTACCAGTAGCAACACACACACACACACACATACACACACATACACACATACGCACACACACACACACAGATTCATCACCCACAAGCAATCGATCCACAGTCTGCCAGCCGCCTCCTTACATCCCTTCTACCTTCCTTGTCGATGTACGGCACAGGGAAGAAGCTGCCGTACAATATGCGCGACACGGAGTGGCACACGTGGACGATGCCTGTGGGTTTTGACGTGATGGGTATTTGGCCGGACTGCTCGGACGGCACCGACATCAACGCGGTGGATCGGCCTCGCCTGGGTGCGCCGATCTACGACCCGTACGGTAGGTATGCCGTACGGATTGTACGGCGTGTATGACATTAGTATCGCGCCGTTTAGCTAGCGCTAAGCTCTGGGGGAGTTCATAGACCCCGGGGTGCACATCGGACGCTGAGCAGTGCGAGACAAGCAGTACATACCGCCGTACATTGTCCAGTGGATTTGCTATGTATGTACGGTTTAGCTAATGAACTGTGTACGGGCTGTGTACTGTCGTACGGTTTTCATACATATTGCGCTCCCGTGCGCCTCCATCATCATCACTTGTTGAGGGGCCTCCCCCCTCCTCCATCTTCCCCCGCTTCACTCCGTTCTGAGGGCTTTAAAGGGCACACACACATACATACACATACACACACACAGACACACACACGCACACACACACAGACACACACACAGACACGTATGTGTGTGTGTGTGTGCGCCCTCTTTCCCCTCCCCCACCTTCACACCCTTCTTTCCGCTCCCCCTTCCCCCCCATCACCCCTCAGAGGCCGCATACGAGGGCAGTACGGAGGCCGCTCTTCACTACTCGGAGCGAGACAGCGCCGACGGCATCAGCGGCGCGAGCTACCTGGTCACCGCAGACGACTTTGCGACGGTCAAACTGTTCAACTATCCGGTAGTGGCAGACGATGCGCCGTATAAGGCCTTTAGGGGACATGCCTCACACGTCACTTCCGTACGGTACGTACGTGTGTGCGTGTGTGTCATACACACACATACCTTACCCTCACTCCGACTTCTCTGACCTGTGCTTTTGTTCCCCGCCACACACACCCCACTCTCCCTCTCTTTCCCCACATACATAATATATAATTACATACATACATACATACATACATACATACATACATACATACATACATACATACATACATACATACATACATACATACATACATACATACATACATACATACATACATACATACATACATACATACATACATACATACATACATACATACATACATACATGCATACATACATACATACATACATACATACATACATACATACTAACACGCTCACATACACACGACCAGGTTCCTGTCCGATGACCGGGTCATTGTGAGTGTGGGCGGACACGACCGCGGCATCTACCAGTGGCGCACTTGCGGCATCGCCTCGGGACTGCCGCCCCTACCCGCTATATACAGCATGCTGGCGGAGTGCGAAGCCAAGGTGCGTGTGTATGTATGTGCGTATGCGTGCGTGTATGGTTGGGTTGTTATGGGGTTTGGTGGGGGGGGAAAAGAGAAAGGGAGTTAGGTTTGTTTTTGGTGGGGGGAAAAAGAAGGGGGTTCGGAGTTACACGTGAGCGTCTGTGTATGTGTGTCTGTGTGTATGTGTGTCTGTATGATGTTCGTGTTGGGGCCACGTGTGATTGAGAATAGTCCAACAGAATTGGTGGCTGTACGTCCAAATCCCAACTCCTCAAAACGCACACACACACCGACGAAATCCCCCCATTCAACCCCATTCCCCACACACATCTCTTCAGGGGGGGAACCAGACGGAGGCTTCTAAGGTCCTACGGGAGCAGGTTTGGGAGCGACTCCACTCGCGCGCACGTGCCTTCCGGTCGTACGAGCGGCTTAAACTCTTTGCAATGCGAGTGGCGGTCGAGGAGAAGCGAGTCAACAGCCTGGCTTCAGCCAAACCTCAACCCAAACTGCCCGAGCAGATGGTGTGGGCCAAAGTGCCCGGGAGCTCGAACCAGTACGGCCCCGTGTCTCGGAGCAAGCTGGCGGGGGCGGAGGGTGAGGATGGCGGCGGCGGCGGCGGCGGCGGTGGTGGGGGCAATAGGGGTGGTGGAGGGGAAAGAGGGGGGAACTCGCCCGGGTGGGCGGCGGGGACGCCGACGATGACGCCGCGCAGGTCGGCGGCGCCGTCGCCGCGGGGCTCGGCGGCAGGGTCATCGTCGCCGCTGCCGCCGCCGCCGCCGCCGCATGCAGCGCGGTCACCGTCGGTTCGTACACCAGGTGGCGCGTCAGCGGCGGCGTCAGTTGCAGATTCGGGGCTAAGTGCAGATTTGGAGGGTTACGAGCCGTCGTTGCGGCCTCCGACAGTGGCGGG